TAATCTGGAATATCTACAGAGAGCTTCAATCTGCTTCTCAAGCGCTGCTTACTTAACCCCCCCCCCCCCCCCCCCAACGTTTCACTGTCATACAACGTTTCCGTGGAAAAAATAACTTCTGATGCAACTTAAATAAAAATGTTTGAGCGTCCTGCATCGAGCCTGGAGGAGCATCAACTCTGAATGGCTCCATACCTGAACAGCACTTCCTTTACTGATGTGTTAACATTAGGCTTACCTGTGCTTCAATGGATAAGATTGTTTTAAATGTATTTGTTTTTAACTAAGTGTAGTTAGACGTGACTTGGTTTACTCTTATTGGTTACTTGAAACTCCTCTAAACCCAAAATCCTGGTCTTGAGTTGGAAAAGGGTAAAACGCCCTCTCCAGGTCAAGGAGGAGGTCCTGCCCCGAGTATTTCGGGGTCTTGTTCACAAGTGAGGGAAAGATGGAGCTCAAGATCAACAGGTAGATCAGTGCTGCTTCCGCAGTGATGAGAGCTGAGCCGGAAGACAATCGTTGCTACCCTCACCCACGGTCACGAGCTTTGGGAAGTGACCGAAAGAACAAGATCACAGATACAAGCGGCCGAAATGAGTTCTCTCCGCAGAGAGGCTGGGCTCTCCCTTAGAGATAGGGTGAGAAGCTCGGAGTAGACCCGCTGCTCCTCCACATCGAGAGGAGCCAGTTGAGGTGGCTTGGGCATCTGGTCAGGATGCCTCCTGGACGCCTCCCTGGTGAGGCTTTCTGGGCACGTCCAACCCAGAGAAGACCTAAAGGAAGACGTAGGACACACTGGAGGAGCTACGTCTCCCGGCTGGCCAGGGAACACCTCGGGATTCCCCCGGAGGAGCTGGTCCAAGTGGCTGGGGAGAAGGAAATCTAGGCTTCCCTGACCCAACCCCAGATAAGTGGAAATGGATGGATGACCCAACCCCAGGGAGGGAGGGAGGATGGATGACCCAACCCCAGGGAGGGAGGGAGGATGGATGACCCAACCCCAGGGAGGGAGGGAGGGAGGGAGGGATGGATGGATGGATGGATGGATGGGTTATTTGAGACGTCACGCTGCAGCTGTACCAGTAGTGATCAGGGTGGTGATCTGTGTGTGGATGCGCTCCTGCAGGTGCGCATCACTAATTTGTGTATCTGGACTTAAGTGGGATCTCAGAGCATTTACTGCCAGTCGAGATGAAACAACCGGGTTAGTGTGTGTCGGACCGCAGACAACATGACTCAGTGGGACTATACAAGTTTCCACCAGTCTCCTCTATTCTTCCTCGTGTCGTGCTTGGTGCTGCTGGGTTAGGGTTAGGGGCCAGAGTTGTAACACACTGCAGCTGCTGTCACCACACTGTAACCTCTAATGAAATTCCAACCAGGAACGGGTCTACAGCTCGGCAAAGGCACATATACAGGATGAACCGGTGTCATTTCAGTTTAGACATTTAGGGTTCAGTCCATTTCTGTAAGCATGCCATTTTCTTTAAGAAAGCCAAGATAGTGCATCTGTGGGCTAAGAATCTGTACGTTGGACCGCTTCATACAGAGGCTGTGCACCGAGGCAGTTCTCTTTCTGGCTGTGCACAAAGGCTGCACACGGTCAGCAGCAGCAGAGAAGAATGTGACCACCCAGCTTTTTCTGCTGGCCAGACAGCCCCCAGCAGCACAAATACTATCCCTAACACACCCTCCCACAACGCACCAGGCCAGAGGACCAAGAAGTGGGGGCTGACGGTCACGGTGCCACTACTACAGAACAACATCTGCACAGGCTTACTTTTTCTTTGCTTCTTCGTATTGCCAGTTGAGTTTCACCTTGTCCACCAAATGTGAGGAGTCCTGGGAGCCATACTTAAAAAGACAACATAAACCATCACTGCAGTTATCCTTATGGAGGGAGAACACAGAGCTCACTCGTCACCGTGCCTCCTACCTCTCCCATGATGTCAGTCTGACAGCCCATGTCGCAGTACTGCTGCAGATTGCACGAGTCACCAGCGGTTCTGGCGCTGACCACCGCCTCGCCGACCGACTCGCTCACTGCCAGGTTGCTTTGGAAGCTAACCGCCAGCTTCGCAAGGCTCTGCAACACAAACCAGGAAATCAGCACAAAGAAACTCTAATGTAAATGTGATTTTTGAAAAGATCCCACAGAAGTGGATTCCATAGTATTATTTGTATTATTTAAAGGTAAAACACATTAAAATGAAAGAGTATGATATGATGAGCACCACAGCACGGCCCGTGGTGTACACAGACTGCTTCTGTCAGTGTGGCCTAACTTCTTAGTGAATCACTCTTACTCACTAACAAACATCCGTTCCTTTGGTTAAACGTTTATTTCTGTTGTTAAAAATCAGACAAGTGCTGAATTTGTTTAAACATCTGAAAACAAACTCTGGGCAGCAGATGAGCAGTAGCGGGTACCGAACACTAGAGGTCAGCACCGAACATGCAAACAGACCATGAGCAGGATGTGCTGCTGCTGAGAGCCAGA